GGGGGAGGGGGGGATGGAGGAAGGGGGAGGGGGGGATGGAGGAAGGGGGAGGGGGGGATGGAGGAAGGGGGAGGGGGGGATGGAGGAGGGAACCAACGGGGTTGGAGGGGTGGAGGAGTCCAGATGCATGGGGGCTACGAGAGATCCGCAAACCCCCTCCTCCCCAAAACAACTTCCTCTCCCAGATGAAGCGATATCCAGTTGCTTTGAAATACACCTTGCCACCCACCCGCCCCTCCACATCGCCAGCCCCCCCACCAGCTCCCACCTGCCCAGACCCCCCTCCCTCGACAACCACCACATAGGAGAGCTGTCCCTTCCCCCCGCACAGCACCTCACCACACCGGGGTGGCCAGTAGGGCCTTCTTACCCCCCACATTCCTCCCCCCCTAGCAGCAGGACGGTCTCGTGTTGTATTGTGCTCCGATCCCACCTTGAACCGCACCTCACCCTGTCGCCCCCTTTCGCCAATCTCCCGCACAACGGATGAAGCTGTGTCAGGGTGCCTGCCGTGGTCTGCTCAAGTCCCCGCCTGCTTTTAGCTCCGCCTCCCCTCCCCTCCCCTCCCCTCCCCTCCCCTCCCCACTAAGCTCAGCTCACCTCAGGTCTTGTTCAATGACGTCCACTTTGTGGTTCAGCTCGGTGGCACGACTGTGCAACTCGAGGACGGGGAATCCGCCGCCGGCAGTGCCGCCACTGCCGCCACCAGCACCGCCCGCGCCGCCGCCGCTGATCAGCGACGCCGCCGCCACCAGCTCCTCCAGCGCGCCGCCGGCAAAACTTCTCACCACATAACAACACCGGAACACACACACACACACACGCGGGAGATAGGTATGTATGTAGGTAATAAGAAGATATCTGGTTGTGTAAGTTGTGTACGTAGTTAAGTCTAATGGAGGTTTCGGTTCCTGCCACCTCAACAGCCGTGGGCTGACTGATTCCCCCCCTCACCTCTGGGTGGAATCAAAACCCACAACGGCAGCTGGCACCGCTTCTCACTGACACAGATGATCTCACTGACGACAGGAGTGACGTCACCCTGTACTGCGTTGCTTGTTTTTCCGTACCACGGCTAAGGTCGCATTACAGAACACCTCGCAGCAGAGTTTTCTTCCCTTTCCCGACTTCGACCTCATGGTCGGTCGGTCGGTCGTGTCAAGGTCAAGGACGCAGGATGCCAGAAGAAAGGCTCTGCTACCGCTCTGCTAGCGGTCGGAGGTTACCTATAGGTCTCTCCTGTAACCTGCCGCGGCACATGAGGACATCACATCATCGAGGCGGGCGCTTTCCTTCACCGCCATTTTGATCTCCCTCCCCTCCCCCTCCTCCTCCTCCTCCTCTTCCCTTACGAAGCCCATTTCCCCCCTCTCCTTGAGCTCGCCGCTCCCCCCCGTTTCCCCAACAGTACAGCCAACGAGTGCGGGTTAGGTTGCCTTTTCCCCTACAACTATTCCCGCGCTCCCCCACCTCCCTTCCCCCCCACCTCCCTCCCCACCTTCCGACCCTACCTTCCGGATAACCGTCTTGAGGGGGACCCCAAGCCCCCACCTCCGGCGGCACCCCCCGGGGTACCGAGACGTGAGGGCCCTATGCGGAGAACCTGGTGG